ATTAGCATATCTTCTTGATGAACTGACATTATCATGCATATTCTTGTTTGTTTATAATATATCATGAAGTATGTTTTGTCTGATATTAACATAGCTGTGCCAGCTTTTTAATACTTATTGTTTGTATGGTATAACTTTTTCAATACTTTTACTCTTATTCCATTTGTTTTTATCTTTAAAGTCCATCACTTGTAGACAACATATAGTTGGGTCTCTTTTTAATCCAGTTTGACAATCTCTGCCTCTTAATTGGAATGTTTAGTCCATTTATACTTAATATAATTATCAATATGGTTAGGCTTAAGTCTACCATCTTGCTACTTATTTTCTATTGTCACATCTGCTTTTTTGTTCCTGTCACTCTTTTCCTGCCTTTTTGGTAAACTTTTTTTTTTTTTACATTTAATTTTATAGCTATCCATGTGGAGATGTTAGAGGCACCCAGCCTCAACTAACTACACCCTTTTTCTTCTTCATCTCATTTGATACTTTTTGGTAAATCTTTTTAATTTTTTTTTTAAACATTTTATAGCCATCCATGTGAAGAGGTTAGTGACATTCAGGCTTGACTAACTGCATCCTTGTTTGCCTTCATCCCATTTGAGCCTCCCATCCATCTCTGCACACATGGCCTCAGTCCCTAGCTCCTGGCTGACCACCACTAAACCCAGAAGAGCCACCGTTGTGGCTCACTGGCCCAGGGCTCACAGCCACGGAACACACTCTCTTAACCCGCAGGGAAAAACAGAGCTGGTGAGATGTACTCTTCTGCATTACCAAAGGAGGACTTGATCCCTCCCCCCACTCCAGGACCCTCCCCAGGGGCTGCTGACACATCTCAGGACCGTCGACCTCAGCCACCTCCCCCTCCAACACCTTGTTCGACATTAGAACACCAGCTGATAGCAAAGCCATGTCAGCAAGACCAGTTCTTGACTTCTCAGAAACGAGGAACGTTTGGTCCAGTAACCTCCACTTGGCTATTGGTACTCAAGCCAGAATATCCTCACATGTAAACTGGGGATGTTCTCCTAATACCATGGGTGTGCTGAGGATTATACACAACAGTGCCTTTACGGCACCTGGTACAGCACCTGACCAGGGCGCACACTCCATCAATGGGGGCTGTATGAGTTTCCTGTGTCTGCTGTAACACATGGCCACAAACTGGGGCTTAAGACCACAGAAAGCCGCAAGTCTAAAAGCACAGTGCCAGCAGGGCCCTGTTCCCTCTGAAGGTTCCAGGAGAGGGTCCTTCCTGCCTCTTCCAGCTTCTAGTGGCTCCAGGCGCTCCTTGGCTTATGGCTGCGTCAACTCTTATCTCCACCTCTGTCTTCACATGGCCTTCTCCCTTACGTCTTGTCTCCTTAGGACATTTGTCATTGGATGCAGGGCCCTCCCTGCATCCAGGATAATCTCATTTCAAGATCCTTCATTACAAAGTCCCTTTTTCCAAACAAGGTCAGAGTCACATGCTCCAGAAGTTAGGACACAGACATATCTTTCTGAGAGCCACTTTTCAACCCACGGCAGTAGCTATCACATTTTAATTTGCTCTTTCTTAATATTTTCATACGAGGCCAAGAAGCAGCCCAGGATGAAATATTCTTCGAGCTGCTCCTGAGAACCCAGCAGTGACTGTGTGTCAATGTGCCCTTCTCAGTCTCCACACCAACCCTGCAAGAGGGATCCCTCCCATTTTACAGGGGGTTGAGGTCATGTGGCCAGATGCCCAGCTGGACCCAGGTCAGGTCCCGGTCTACCCGCCTTGCCCAAGACCCTAGGCTGCCTCTGTGTTCCCAGGCACAGAAACCCAGAGTTTCTCCCGTCCTGTGCATGCCTAGGGTCACCTTACAGCTGGACAGCAGTGGCGTGGACCAGAGAACCAGCTTTGTGTGTCTGTACGCCTCTCTTACCTTATGGGGGAGTCTTGGCTTTGCTGAGGGAAATGCAGACAGCAGAGACCGTCAGGCAACTCTGCCTGGCTTGCCAACCATACTACCCAGAGAAAGCGCTTCTCCTCTTCCTAAGGAAAGCTCAAGAAACAGACAAGGCCAGGCACAGCGGTCCACACCTATAATCCCAGCACTTTAGGAGGCAGAGGCAAGAGGACTGCTTGAGCTCAGGAGTTTGAGACCAGCCTGGGCGATACAGCGAGACCTCACTTCTGCAAAAAAATATATAAAAAACTAGCCAGGTTTGGTGGCGCATGCCTGTGGTCCCAGCTACTCAGGATGCTGAGAGGGAAGGATCACCTCAGCCCAGGAGGTTGAGGCTGCGGTGAGCCGGGATCATGCCACTGCACTCCAGCCTGGGTGACAGAGAAAGAAGGAAGGGAGGGAGGGAGGGAAGGAGAGAAGGAAGGAAAGAAAGGAAGAAAGGAAAAGAGACAAAAGACATGCACTGGTAATTCAGATGTTATAATCACATCCAATCCCAAGGGCTGTCATTTGAGAACCGCTGATGTGTACATATCTTCCAAGAACAAATCATTCAAATGTTACCAGGTGATCCTCTCAGTTTCTGCATCAATAACAGGGACGTGACAGGGGATTTGACTGGCGTCATGGCGTGGTGCCAGCTCCCCAAAGCAAGCCTTCTCTTCTATTGTCAAATACGGCGGGGGGGCTGAAATTTTATTAAAACGTATCGGTTTCTGGCTCAAGATAAACAACTTCTTTGGGTGCCCATTTAATTCAGGTTCTAAGCTGAGGCAGCGAAGACAGCACAGTCTAATGAATTCCAGCTCACTTGGGGCCATTCCATGACAAATCACTCATAATGGAATCTCTCCAAAGCACAGGAAAGAAATCAAAGACATCACGGTGCCTTTTTTCCGTCTCAATCAACTCCGCTGGCGAGGCTGCTGCTTCACCAGCACGGATGCCGGTGCCTGCTCCAGGCCCGTTCTCTCTCCTGTTGGCGCCATTGTTGATCTCTTCTCTTCTATCTAAATGACCATTTCCTAAAAGCCTCTGGTTTTTCTGCTCTGGTGGTTTCGAATGCAATCGCTGTCAAATAAGATCTTGGAAATTATCACCAGGAGTAAAAGAAATGAAAATCTGCATTAAAGTAACTCGATTGGTGCTTATGATGAATGGAGAGCAAATTCAAAATGGTCCTGGCTTATTTTCGAGACCTCTTCCACCCAGTTCCTGTTGGATAAAGTGAGGAAAGTGGACACCAGCGTTTATTAAACAAAAGAATTTATTACCCACAAGCTGAGAAGACCTGGTTATGTGTGAGCTGGCATTAAATAATTTACACATGTATTTCCGACAGGCTCTTATTATAAGTCTTCATCTGTTTACAAAAGCAACATTCAACTGTCCACCCTTTGCTGTGGCCAAGCCTGCCTTCTAGAAACAAGGAGAACACACCCTCTTTGCAAGCACGGCCTTCAGTGGGGTGGAAGTTGAGGCCACGCAGCTCTTCCATGCACCACATTCTCAGAATGCCCCAGGAAGTCAGTGGCTGTACAAAGCCCAACCCTGGGGGACAGAAGGTCAACATGCAGACCAGCCAGTGGCCAGGGCCCCACTTTCGCCTGCAGGCACAGTGAGAGCATCTGAAGCTTGGCCCGTCCTGGGAGCCCGGCAGACACACTCAGAGGCCCTCAGCGGAGCCAGCTCTGGCACTGGGTTCTGAGGTCCCAGGGCAGAGGGTCCAGCTCAAGGGTGGGTCCCCAGGGGGCAGGCCAGATGCCCTCCCCATGCACTGATGGACAGACGCTCCTTCCACGCCCGCCAACCACACCAGACCTGCCTGGCAGAACACTGAAGGAATGGAACTCAATATCATAGTAATAATGTGCAACAGGTCTTTTTTGCAAATATTTGGTCAGATCCTTTCAGTTAAATAAGAAAGCATCACATATACATACACAGTGTGCACACAAGACACAAGTATACTTGAAATGTACACACGTGTCTGATAGTATCTTTACTGGAAGACTAGTTCATCCATGCTATTTCAGATGGAACTTCCTGTGATCTTTGGTAGAAAAAAGGTCACCGGGTTTCTTCATTATAAAAATTCTGCCTTAATTAAAAAGAGAAGGCGCAAAGGCAGAGCCTCCTCAGCTGGTCTAACCCCAACGGAATCAATCTGATCACAGTGGTGTCTCCTCCACCCGGGTAGGCCTTGGCCACCTGCTCTGAGGGGGACGGAGCACAAAGTGGCCATCTTAAAATACCCCTCCTCAGCTGGGCGCAGTGGCTCACGCCTGTAATCCCAGTACTTTGGGAGGTGGAGGTGAGAAGATTGCCTGAGCCCAGGGTGAGTTCAACACCAGCCTGGACAACTTGTCTCTACAATAAATTAAAAAACTAGCCAGGCGTGGTGGCCCAAGCCTGTAGTTCCACCTACTTAGAAGGCTGAGGTGGAAGGATCGCCAGAGCCCAGCAGGTCAAGGCTGTGGCGGCCATGAGCGTGCCACTGCACTCCAGCCTGGGCGACATAGTGAGACTCCAACTCAAAAAAAAAAAAAAAAATCCCCTTCTCACAGGCCTTGCTGGGAACAAGAAGCCAAGGAAGGGCTGGAGGGCTCCCTGGCTCAGTCCCCTGGTAACTAATAGGGATAGGGTGAGTGAATGACTGAATGAGGTAAGGCAAGGCAAAACCAGATGGGCCCACGGGTCATGTGGGACTCAGCCACGCTGCTGGCTCCAATGCCGTCCGCTGGTTGTGAATTCCAGAACTTTCTAGATAACAGGCAGGTAATGCCTCAGCCGAGATGGCCACAAACGAGAGGCGGCTTGCCCAAGAAGCACCCCAGCACGAAACACTCCCAGGGGTAGTCGAATCTGGGAGTGAGGAAGCCCAAGATGGTGCGTGTCCTCAGTCTCGTCCCCGCCACAGGGTAGACACGCTCCACACATTTCCCCGGCTGGCCCGCCCCTGCCGGGTGTGGCTTCCCACCCCATCTTCTCGGGCTCCTGCCCCTGAGGGAGCTCCAGGAAGCAGGCGGGAGGCCCCCAGTGGCTGGCACACATCCCGGCTTATTCCACCTTCCAGATGGCGATCTTCCCCTCCTCCTCGCCTGCCCCGCTCAGCACGTATCTGTCCTCGGCCGAGCACAGCGTCCTCACGGTGTCTGAGTGTGCCACCAGCTCCTTCTCCACGGTCTTCCTCTTCGCATCGATCACGTAGATCTTGCCTTTGGGCCTCCCCTGCGACAGCCCTCGGCTGCCCACCCAGATCTGCAGGGAGAAACGGGAGGGGGTGTCAGTCGGGAAAGGGAGACCCTCCCGGGGTGCAGTACTTTACCCGGTGTCCTGGGTTGATTCATGTACCCCCAAGTTCATGTCCTTCCTGGACAGGGCTTCCGCTGGCTGAGGGGCTACCTCGTGGGCCCAGAGGAGGGACCCCCAAGCCACAAGTTCTCAGGCCTTGGAACCAGTGGACAATGTGACAGTCATTAACAATACTGTGTGGTGTACTTGAAACTGGCTAAGAGGGGAGACCGCAAGGGATCTCACCACACACCTACACAAAACCAGCCATGTGAGGTGACAGATATGCCAATTGGTGGTGATTATTTTACAATGTGTGTGTGTGTGTATATTTACAATTTTTACTTGGCAGTTATATCTCAGTAAAGTTAAGGGGGGAAGGAAATTGATGGAATTTCTCCCACTGGGCCTCAGACTTGCGTGGGACCCATCACCCCCTTCTCCGTCAAGTTTCTCCCTGTGGGACAGGAATGTCTATCCTCTGCTTGTCCCGCCATCAGATTTAGGAAGTGACAACTCATTTCTAGTTTCCCGAGTTCACAGCTGGAGTGTCTTGTCCCAGGAAGGCCTGGACCCGAGCCATATCCATCGGAGTGAGCTGGTCACATCCAGAGATTGTTAGAGTTCATGCTGGATGAGGCTAAAACTTTGGAGGACGTTGGGAGGAAGTGAATGTATTTTGCATGTGGGACAGATGTGAATTTTGGGTGGCCAGAGGGCACACGGTCATGGGTTGAGGAGCGTCTCACTCCCAAATCCACGCCCTTCCCAGACTCTCAGATCGTGAGCTTGTTTGGAAATAGCCTTTGCAGATGTGATCAGTTAAGAGGCAGGCATGTTGGAATAGGGTGGGCCCTTAACCCAGGATCACTGATGGCCCCATAAGAAGAGACACAGAGGCACACAGAGAGTGTGCTCTGTGAAGATGGGCATGGGTCAGAGTGACACATCTGCAGCCAAGGACCAAGGACGGCCAGCAACATGGGAAGCGGAAAGAGGGGTGGGGTGAGTTCTCCCACTGAGCCCCCAGGAAAGACACAGCCCGGAGACACCTTGATCTCAGACTACCTGCCCCGAAAACTAAGAGAAAATAAGGCTCTGCTGTGGTAAGCCTGCACAGGCCAGGGCAATCTGTGGCCGCCTAGGAAACAGTTGGTTCTAAGGGCTTTAACCACATGATGAAACCGGGGTGTCTGATGAGCCGTGAGACCAGCTGGTGCCGTATTCGGCTTGTTCCCATTAAGGGGAGAAGGACCCTGAGAGGTGAGGACAGGAGGCATGAGTCGGTGTGGCGACTGGCTCCCTGGGGAGCGGTGGAGACACAGCGGGGTGGGGAGGGGAAAGAGCGCCCGGCGGAGGGGGCACTAGGCCCTGGGCCCTACCTGCTGCTTCACCCTGATCATGCAGCTGATCTCGGAACAGTCCTGAAGGGGCACCCTCTGGGGGGGCTGGGCCAAGTCCTTCAGGCTCCAGATGTAAAGCTCGCTGTAGCCCGCGCAAGCCGCCCACAGCTGCTCCTGCTGCAACAGAAATCACGGCGTGGGCTGTGGGCTGCGGCAGCCCAGGGCCACGTGACCGGGCACACACAGACCCCGTGGGGATACCTCGGGAAGGAGCTGGAAACCGAGGAAGGTGGTGCTCGTCTCTTTGAAGTTCTCATCGACCTTCAACTCTTGACGAAAAAAGTCATTGAGTGTCACAACCACAATGCTGCTACCTGTACCTGCAAGATGGAAGAGCCAGGATGGGGAACAGGCAGAACAAATCTGAAACATAAAGCTGAAACAACTGGTCAGCACCAAAGCCAGAGACGGCCAGCTCCTTCTACAGGCACTGGTGGGTAACTTGGTATTTGTGCCGTGATGCTCCCCTGGGGGCGGTGCAGCCATGCTCTCTTACCATCTGTCCACGCACAGCCTTGAGACCCTGAGCCCTTTTTTCACTGATGAGGAGACAGCTGGAATCCAGTGCTGTCCTCTGAGGCTTTGCACCATATGGCGAAAAGAAGTGGCACATCCTCAGAAGCTTCTGGCCACAGTTGCTTTGGGGTTTTCTATCACTTGAAGCCAAAGCCCCATGAGTGAGTGTCAGAATACAAGGCAACAATACCTTGCCTCTATAGCAGTGATCCCTAAGCTTTTTGGCACCAGGGACGGGTTTTGTGGAAGACAATTTTTCCACAGATGGGGGTGGTGGGAGATCACCGGGCATTAGATTCTCGTAAGGAGTGCGCAACCTAGAGCCCTCACACGCGCAGTTCACAACAGGGCTCAGGCCTGTGAGAATCTAATGCCCCCACTGATCTGACAGAAGATGGAGGTCTGCTTGCCTCTGCTCACCTCCTGCTGTGTGGCCCGGTTCCTAACAGGCCATGGGTCAGTATCAGTCCGTGGCCCGGGGGTTGGGGACCCCTGCTCTAGGGGCATGGATCTGTGTTTGTTCTGAGAGCTTCTCAGCCCATTTCTATTGATCATGTAGACATGTCTTTGTACATAAACCAAGAGTTGTCACATCTGGGAGACCTACAAGCCCTCAAAATTAGCACTGCAGAGAGGGCACAAAATCAAGACTGAAATCGTCTGTAAGGAACAGCTACCATGCCACCCGACTTCCTTCCTAGTGCTGTATTGCATGCATCCCTCCATCTCCACCCACCTCCCAGCAAATGCCAAAGCCACCGTGCTAGCTTCGGAGATGGGAGAACAGGAAGACACGAGCCCGGTCCTTGGGGAGCGCCCCTCCAGGCCCAGAGGGAGGGGCTGACTCACGAGCAAGGGGGCCCAAGAGAACATCAGGGCCTCGACGTTTACCTTAGCATCTGGTCAGCTATATTCATCTGAAATGCATCCAGGAGTTGACACTCACAACCCCACACCTCGCACATACAAGCACACACAAACACCTATGTCCTACAGCCACTGGAGACCAACCAAAGCGGAGGGGATATGGTCCCTGAAAGAAGAGAAGCAAACGTGGAGAGCTGCACAATTGCCAGGCTTTACCCAAGGGCACTGAGGAGCCAAGGTTCCAGTAGGGTGTGGCAGTCTGAGTCAGCTGAGGGGATGCTTTGGGGCTGGCAGTGTGGCTGGAAATGGAGGGGAAGTAGCCTCAAAATGAGGGATTTGCCCCCCCACCAATATATATGAATTTCCCTCAAATCCTAGGCTGATTCCTAAACTGTAGATAAACAAAAGAAAGCGGCAGCTGGAACATTCAAGAGCTGAGAGGACATTCCAGTGCTTCCTAGTTCTAGAGAGACAAAAGTTCAAAGTTCCAGCTCCTGCAAGGTAGATAGGCTTGGTATAGACTTGAGTATTCCCTGGAAACCTCAGAAAGCCTATGTTTTAGGAATAAAGACCACACCTGAACTGAGGGCTCTGCTCTAGGGTCAAAACTGAAAACCAAGCCTCCACACAGGTACAAGATAATCTGCCATTGCTTAATGACCAGCTAAAGAAAGATATAACCTAGAGTCTCTTCAATGTGCCATCAACAATGTCCAGGACATGATAAAAACATTACTATACGTGTTACTTCTGGTTCCAAAATGGCGGCAGAGATACAAGCTAGTTTCACATCCCCACTCCCCAGAAAACCAAAACCAAATATACAGCACCATGGTTATCACCAGCAATATCCCTTAACTCAAATGAGGACAAGACAGTTCCCAGGGCCACAGGGAAGTGAAAATACTGAGCAGACAGTAAGGGAACTGAACTTCCACATCCACGAGGCCCCTCCACCAATTCTGCCTCGTACCAGGCACATGAAAAATACTCCTCTAACTTATGTTTCCTACACTGGATGGAAAAAGTGACACGGAGGGAGAACAATCAGCTTCGCTATCATCATGGGTTCCCTGGCAGAAGACCTGACCCTGCCTTAGTCCATGGGAAGCATCATGAGTGTCTAAAGGGAGAAATATCCCAGAGGACAGCCAGAGACAAAGGGGGGAGGGAGGACTCCCATCCCCAGCCCTGGACACTCTGCTCTGCAACTCAGTCAAAGGAGATGCCCATCAGAGCGGCTGTTCAGCAGCACCGTGCTGTAGGAAGTACCTTTGCAGGTCTCCTGGGCATGAACCCAGAGCGGGCATTCCCCCATTGCGGGGATATCCGCCTTAGGACTGCTCCCATTCAGGCTGGGCAGTGCTCCCGTCGTTTATTGGCACTGAGGCAAACCTGGGGTTATGGCGCCACCTAGAGCCAAAAGGGAGGCAGTGGCCTAGCAGGAAGGAATCTCTAAGCAAAATGCCCAATAAAAAACAAAACATGCCAGGCATAGGAGACTGGAATAAAGAACTAAGCCTTCAGTGCAGAGACATAGACATACAGCCATAAGAAACAACAGCCAACAGGGAACCATGATCTTTCTGAAAGGACAAAGCAAGGAACCAATGACTGGCCCTAATGAGATGGCGATAGTGAGCTCTCTGATCAAGAGTTCAAAATAACAGTTTTAAGGAAACTCAGTGATCTCCAAGATAACAGAAAATGATTCAGAAATGTATCAGAGAAATTTAACAGACACTGAAATAATATTTAAAAAGTCAAACAAATTTTGGAAGTGAGAAATACATTTGCTAAACTGAAAAATTCATCAGAGGCTCTCAACAGCAGAATGGATCAAGCAGAGAAACAATCAGTGAGCTCAGAGACAGGCTATTTGAAAATGCACAGTCAGAGAAGAACAAAGAGAAAAGGAATAAGACAGTCTACGAGATATAGGAGATTACCTCAAAAGACCAAATGTAAGAATTATTGGTGTCCAAGAAGGAGCTGAGCAAGAAACAATAAATGGAAAGCTTATTCAAAGAAGCAATAACAGAAAACTCACCAAAAACATGAGAAATACATAAATATCCAGCTACAGAAAGGTCAGAGAATATCAAACAGATTTGACCCAAATAGGACTTCTCCTAGGCATATAACAATCAGACTCTCAGAGGTCAAGGGCAAAGAAAGACTCCTACAAGCAGCAAGAAAAAGGAAGCACACAACATTAAAAAGCTCAGTTCTCCTGACAGCAGACTTCTCAGCAGAAACCACACAGGGCAGGAGGAAATGGAATGACACTTTCAAGGAACAGAAAGAAAAAACTGCCACTGAAGAACACTGTATCCAGCAAAGTCATACTTTAAATATGAAGGAGGAGAGAGAGAGAATCTTTCCCAGACCCCCCCGCCCAAAGCTGAGAGAATTCACCACCATCGGACTTATCTTACAGGAGACGCTAAAGGGACATCTTCAATCTGAAGGGAAAAAAAATCCTAATGTGGAAAAAGAACACATGAGAAGGCATAAAGCTCACAGTTAAAATTAAGTACATGGACAAACCTAGAGTACTCATGCTGTGCTTGTGATGTGTAATCCACTCATAACTCTAGTATGAAGCCCAAAAGACAGATCTATCAAAAACAATAATAACTACCAGCTACCTATTTTTTGTTTGTTTGTTTTATGTTGGGAGCCGGGCACGGAGGCCCACTGAGCATTAGGGATCAGGGAGGGCCGTGGACCCTAAGACCACTAGGATGCGTTAGGGAGCTGTTGACTCCATTCTCTCCTCCCTTTCACATTTAGCCAAAAGGAACTCTGCTGACCTGAGCTGAAGGCTCTGTGACTGTGACAGGCATGGCTCGCTCTAGAAACTCATTGTTCCTGTTTCCCATGAACTGCGGTTTCGGCTTAGGCATTAGATATAATTCAAACTCAGGTCACATTTGGGAGCCTTTTATATGATACAAGCTTCTTTATAAGATTTAAAAGTTTATTTGTAGAATTAGTATATACTTATGGAGAGCTGTTTTCAGCTTTAGATGGTATAGAAGATTATCTAGAGTTACCAGAAATGGCCCAGCACAAACTTTGGGCTGGGCCACATTCCTGAGGGCCCAGCGCGTACTTTGGACTGGGCTGCATTCTTTTAGGTTGGCTTTAGCTACAGTTAGTTTAGGGTTTTTCTACCTATTATAGAAATTGAATTTATTTTATTCATAGAAAGTATTGTAGAATAGGTCATGCTAACGTCAGGGAATCATGTTAGTTCAAGCATGATCAATCATGATATTTTGAGGTTTAATAAGAATACAGCTAACTTTAGAAATTTCATTGTTCTCATTTTCTACTATTGTGGTTTTGGCCTTAGTACAATTTACAGTTTATATTTGGGTTTTATTTTTAGAAACTTTATTGCTGATGATCAGCTTTATATATTAGGATTAGGAATTAGAAACTTTTATAGAAATTAAGATAGATATATAGGATTTTAGAATAGCCATTTTGTTAAGAGATTGTAATCGATTGTTCCAAGAAGTTGCCCACTGTGAACCTTGGACTGGGCCGCATCCTAAAAGGCCCAGCGTGATCTTTGGACTGGGCCACATTCTTTAGGAACTGGTTTAAGCTATAATTAAGAGCTCCCATAGCAACTGTGTAAGTAAAATTAGCATAGAATAGAAAGGTAATAAGATTTAAGTTAGTCATCATGGGTGTTATGTGCGCATGAGCTTTAAAAGTGATTGATTATGAGAACATCAAGATGCTAGTAGGGATTGTTGCATTGTTTTTGAGGAACATTAACTAGCATAGGGAACAATAAGACAATTTTGGGGTTTGACCTTCCTCATACCTGAGAAAATATCTGGTGGGTGGGGGACGCCCCTCATGCACCTGGCTTTGTGTTCACGTGAAAGACTTGTGAGACTGTCAGTGTAAAATTTGGGGATAAATACCCGCTGTAACTTCCAATAAAGGCTTCTGCACTAGACAGAGTCCAGTCTCTTTCTTTTTCCCGCAGTCTCTTTCTTTTTCCTGCAGTCTCTTTCTTTCTTTCTTTTAATATCTATCCCTACAGATTCGCCGACGCCGCCACCTCTTTCCAGGGACCCTCAAAACCTGCAGGGGCTGGCCCCCCACAGTTTTAGAGTTGAAGTCTCATTCTGTCACCCATGTTGGAGTGCAGTGGCACACTCACGGCCACCCCAGCGTTGACCTGCTGGGCTCTGGCGATCCTTCTACCTTAGCCTTCCAAGTAGTCGGACTATAGGTGTGCACTACCACACCCAGCTAATTTTTGATTTATTGTAGAGATGAGGTCTCACCACGTTGCCCAGGCTGGTGTTGAACCCATGGGCTCATGTAATCCATTCGCCTCGGCCTCCCAAAAAGTGCTGGGGATTACAGGCTGAGCCACCAAGCCCGGCCACAAACTACCTATTAAGAGATAGATAGCAATATCATTCTCATCAGGGAAATGCAAACCAAAACCACGATGAGATATCATCTCACCCCAGCTAGAATGGCTATCATTACAAAGACAAAAAATAACACTGGTAAGGATTCGGAGAAAAGGGAATGCTCATACGTGTTGGTGGGAATGTAATTTGCACAGCCATTATGGGAAACAGTATGGAAATTCCTCAAAAAACAAAAAACAGAACTACCAGATGATCCCCCAATCCCACTACTGGGTATTTATCCAAAGAAAAGGAAATGAGCATATATCAAAGGGACACCTATACTCTGATGTCTATAGCAGTGCTATGTACATGGTAAAGATTTAAAGAAATTAAATGAAGTGTACATCATTGAAGGAATGGATAAAGAAAATGTGAGTATCTGTACACAACGGAATACTGTTCGGTCATTAAGAAGAATCAAATCCTGTCATTTGCAGCAAGATGGATGGATTTGGAGGGCATTATGTTAAGTGAAATAAACCAAGTACAGAAAGACAAACATGCATGTTCTCACTCATATATGGGAGCTTAAAAAAGCAGATCTCATGAAGCCAGAGAGTAGACTGGTGCTTATCAGAGGTGGAAAAGGGGAGGGGAAAAGGGAGGAGGAAGAGAAACTGACTAATTGGTACAAATAGATGGCTTGATTGAAGAAAGAAAAGCTAGTGTTCAGTAGATCATAAGGTGATTGTAGTTTTCAAAGATCTATTACCCCTTCCAAAATAGCTTGAAGAGAATAATTTGAATGTTTCTAGCATGGCGACAAGACAAATACTTTAGGTGATACTTATCTCAAGCACTCTTATTTGATTTGTACAAATTATAAGGATGTATGAAATGGTCACATCTACCCCAAGAACACATACATCTATCACCGTATATATCACCATATATATAATTTTAAAAATCACCATACATGCAAAGCATGAAAACATTTTCTAAATGTCCAGAGAAAAACAGCAGATGACAGATGATCCAGTATCTAGCAGACATGGACTTTATACCAATAATTACAAATATATTTTTTAAACTTACAGGAAGATATAGAGAGAATGGGTAAAGAAATGAAGAATTTAGAAGAGAAATGGGAGTTGTAGAACTAAAATGAAAATTTACTGGAGAGATTTAACAGGAGGCAGAACATAGAAAAAATGTTCAGGTCTTATCCAAATGAAAGCAGAAAGAGAAAAAAGAATGAAAAAAAGCATAACAGTACCCAAGATCTGTGGGACAATACCAAATGGTCTGAAATATATACTTAGAATCTCAGAAAACAGGGGGTGAGAGAATGGGGCAAAAAATTTTTGAAGAGATAATGGTTAAAATTTTTCCTAAAATTCATGAAAATAAACTCTAAGTAAGATAACACAAAGATCTTCTTACCTAGTCACACAGTAGTCCAACTCTATGCTGTCCAATCAAAGATAAACCTTAAAAGCAGCTAGAGAGGATTACACCTGTAATCCTAGTACTTTGGGGGGCCGAGGCAGGAAGACTGCTTGAGCCCAGGAGTCTGAGACCAGCCTGGGCAACATAGTGACACCTCATTTCTAAAAAAAACAAAAAAACAAAAAACTTAGCCAGAAATGGTGGCATGTGCCTGTAGTCTCAGGTACTCAGGAAGCTGAGGCAGGAGGTTTACTTGAGCCCAGGAGGTCGAGGCTGCAGTAAGCCATGAAGTGCCACTGCACTCCAGCCTGGGTGACAGAGTGAGACCCTGAATGAAAAAAAAAAAAGCAGCTATAGAAAACAGACACATTATATTCAGCTGAATAATAAGAATGATGGTAGACTTCTCATTCAAAACAAAGTAAGCTAGAAAAGGAATAATAATGTAGTTGAAAAAATTAAAACGATTAGCCTAGAATTTATTCTCAGCAGACTCAAATTATAAGAAATACTGGCTGGGCGCAATGGCTCCCGCCTGTAATCCCAGCACTTTGGGAGGCTGAGGCAAGAGAACTGCCTGAGCCCAGGAGTTCAAGACCAGCCTGGGCAACTTGGTGAGACCTCTTCTCTACAATAAATTAAAAAGACTAGCTGGGCATGGTGGCGTACGCCAGTAGTTCCAGCTACTTGGAAGGCTGAGGCAGAAGGATGTTTGAGCCCAACAGGCTGAGGTTGCCGTGGCCGTGAGCATGCCACTGCACTCCAGCCTAGGTGACAGAGTGAGACTCCAGCTCTTAATAAATAAATAAGGAAATTATTTAGGCTACAGGTGAAGGATGAAGGTGGAAGCCTGTGTCTTTAGGAAGGAATGAAACTCACCAGAAAAGGTAAGTATATAGGCAAAAATAATTTTTTTCTTAATTTCTTTGAAAGACCAAAGAAATTTTTTCTTTAGCAAAAATTTTAAAAATATATTCAGGGCCAGGTGCAATGGCTCAAGCCTATAATCCCAGCACTTTGGGAGGCCGAGGCGAGGGGACTGCCTGAGCCCATGGGTTTGAGACCAGCACGAGCAACTTGGCAAGACATCATCTCTACAATAAATCAAAAAATTAGCTGGGCGTGGTATGGAGCGCCCGTAGTTCCGGCTACTTGGAAGGCTGGGGCAGAAGGATCGCCAGAGCCCAGCAGGTCGGCGCTGGGGTGTCTACGTTTGTAAAAACACAACAAACCATACACCTATTTTTTGCACTTTATGTAAACTATGCTTCAGTTAAAAGCAACACATTCCTGAGCATCACTCATGTGATCAGGCATACACCAAGGAAGACCAAGGTGCAGCAACTTCTGTGCTGGGATGTTCAGAGCCACGGACTGTGAGCCACCATCAAAGTGTTGCACCTCCCGTCACTCCCTGGCAACGTGCCCGGTTTGGGTCCACGGACTCTCCGGCCAGGAGAACACACAGCACAGCCTCGCCCAGTTGGCCCCGTGCAGGGAAACATGATGGGGCCAACCGGGGGCTCCCTGGAGGGGCACAGGTCAGGAACCAGAGATTAAAATTAAAACCAGGCATGCGAAAAGCAAAGGAGCAGAGGCTTTTGCTTTTGTTGGGTGTCCTTTTCCCAGGAGGGACACCCAGTGTGATGGTGGAGGCAGAGGACTTACAGCACCACAGCCGGCCGCCGTGCAGTCTGATGGACGTGAGGCCGCCACACGGCAGCTGGAAGCGACTGGTCACCTTCAGCGTGCTCACGTTCCACACCAGCACCATCCCGTCTATGCTGCACGAGTAAACCACGCTGGAGGTACAAAAGACACACTCACATTTACTTCGGGTCCTGGAAAAGCTGTGCACGTTTTAATCCAGGAAACAAATTACCCTAACTTGCAAACATCCTAGGAATGTGGCCAGAACAAGGCTTAGTTAAAATGTAACCCATTCCAGCAGGGTGCAGTGGCTCACGCCTACAATCCCAGCACTCTGGGAGGCCTGGGCAACCTGGTGAGACTTTATCTCTACAATAAATCAAGAAAAATTAGCTGGGCGAGATGAACCCAGCAAGTCGAGGCTGCGGTGGCCGTGAGCGTGCCACTGCTCTCCAGCCTGGGCGACGGAGTGAGATTCCAACTCAAAAAATAAAATAAAATAAAATATAACGGATTCCAGCAGCCCAGGGCTCACGCCTGTTATCCCACCACTTTGGGAGGCAGAGATAGGAGGATCACTTTAGCCCAGGAGTTCGAGACCAGCCGGGCAACATAGCGAAACCTTGTCTCTACAAAAAAATTTTTAAAAATTAGTCGGGCATGGTGGTACACGCCTGTAGTCCCAGCTACTCAGGAGGCAGAGGTAAGAGGATCATTTGAGCCCTGAGCCCAGAAGGTCGAAGCTGTGGTGAGCTGTGACTGTGCCACTTCACTCCAGCCTGGGAAACAGAGTGAGACCCTAGCTCAGAAAAAAAATGTAACCAATTCCACAGAAAAAGACGTGTTTCTCAGGATGCCCCCATCTCCTGTCACCATTGGCTACAGGCCTGCAGAAGTATTGTGAGTAAAACCATGATGTGACCATGTGCATGCTTCAGTGCCCTGGCTTGGACTGGGGTGGGCTCTGGTCAGTGTTCCATGAGCCCTCTGTCCCCGGGGCTTGGTTCACTTTCAAGCTAGTACCTTCTATCTCGCCTGCACAGTGCGTGACACAGGGCGCCACTGAGACCAAGTTAGGGGAAAAGGGGGTGGGGAGCAGTGACCCCCATGCCCAGGGCTGGGCTGCCCCAACCAAGTGGGGGGCCTCAGACACACCTCCCACCCCCCACTGAGCCCCCGCTCCCTCCACCTGGTCCTCTTCCTTCCCTGGGGCCCACTGGGTGTCAGGCCATGCTCTACCTACAGGACACACAGCCTGAGCAGACATCTGTCCTCAGGGTACTGTTATTCTTAATGTAGGTAAGCCATGAAAGAGGTATTTAAGTGTTAGGCAGGATCTTGGCCCCCCAAAAGACCTGCTGGTGTCCTAACCCTCCTTACCTCAGAATGTGACCCGATTTTGGAAATAGGGACTTTACAGAGGTACCCGAGTTAAATAAGGTATTAGGGTGAGCCCTAATCCAGTATGACTGGTGTCCTTATAAACGGGAAATTGGGCCCAGAGCTAACATGCACAGAGGGAGAACATCGTGAAGGGACAGAGCTGACCAAGGGATGCCCAGGATTTTGGAGGAATGTGGAGAAGCCTCTTCCCCTGCAGGTGTAAGGGAGCACAGCCTTGCTGGCACCTCGATTTTGAATCCTGGCCTCCAGAACTAATATCTGTCGTTCTAAGCCATCTAGGTAGTGGGGCTCTTTCATGGCCACCTGGGAAACGAATGCAAAAATGAAATACAGGCTTGCTAGAACATGGTGAGTGGTGGGGCGGGGCTTG